TGACCTGTGTGTTGTGTAGGGCTGGTGTGGGCTTGGTCCTGACCTGTGTTGTGTAGGGCTGGTGTGGGCTTGGTCCTGACCTGTGTTGTGTAGGGCTGGTGTGGGCTTGGTCCTGACCTGACCTGTGTGTTGTTGTGTAGGGCTGGTGTGGGCTTGGTCTTGACCTGTGTGTTGTTGTGTAGGGCTGGTGTGGGCTTGGTCCTGACCTGTGTTGTTGTGTAGGGCTGGTGTGGGCTTGGTCCTGACCTGTGTTGTGTAGGGCTGGTGTGGGCTTGGTCCTGACCTGTGTGTTGTTGTGTAGGGCTGGTGTGGGCTTGATCCTGACCTGTGTGTTGTGTAGGGCTAGTGTGGGCTTGGTCCTGACCTGTGTTGTGTAGGGCTGGTGTGGGCTTGGTCCTGACCTGTGTTGTGTAGGGCTGGTGTGGGCTTGGTCCTGACCTGTGTTGTTGTGTAGGGCTGGTGTGGGCTTGGTCCTGACCTGTGTGTTGTTGTGTAGGGCTGGTGTGGGCTTGGTCCTGACCTGTGTGTTGTGTAGGGCTGGTGTGGGCTTGGTCCTGACCTGTGTGTTGTGTAGGGCTGGTGTGGGCTTGGTCCTGACCTGTGTTGTGTAGGGCTGGCGTGAGCTTGGTCCTGACCTGTGTGTTGTGTAGGGCTGGTGTGGGCTTGGTCCTGACCTGTGTTGTTGTGTAGGGCTGGTGTGGGCTTGGTCCTGACCTGTGTGTTGTGTAGGGCAGGTGTGGGCTTGGTCCTGACCTGTGTGTTGTGTAGGGCTGGTGTGGGCTTGGTCTTAACCTGTGTGTTGTTGTGTAGGGCTGGTGTGGGCTTGGTCCTGACCTGTGTTGTTGTGTAAGGCTGGTGTGGGCTTGGTCCTGACCTGTGTGTTGTGTAGGGCTGGTGTGGGCTTGGTCCTGACCTGTGTTGTGTAGGGCTGGCGTGGGCTTGGTCCTGACCTGTGTGTTGTGTTGGGCTGGTGTGGGCTTGGTCCTGACCTGTGTTGTTGTGTAGGGCTGGTGTGGGCTTGGTCCTGAAATGTGTTGTGTAGGGCTGGTGTGGGCTTGGTCCTGACCTGTGTGTTGTGTAGGGCAGGTGTGGGCTTGGTCCTGACCTGTGTGTTGTGTAGGGCTGGTGTGGGCTTGGTATTAACCTGTGTGTTGTTGTGTAGGGCTGGTGTGGGCTTGGTCCTGACCTGTGTGTTGTGTAGGGCTGGTGTGGGCTTGGTCCTGACCTGTGTTGTTGTGTAAGGCTGGTGTGGGCTTGGTCCTGACCTGTGTGTTGTGTAGGGCTGGTGTGGGCTTGGTCCTGACCTGTGTTGTGTAAGGCTGGTGTGGGCTTGGTCCTGACCTGTGTGTTGTTGTGTAGGGCTGGTTTGGGCTTGGTCCTGACCTGTGTTGTTGTGTATGGCTGGTGTGGGCTTGGTCCTGACCTGTGTTGTGTAGGGCTGGTGTGGGCTTGGTCCTGACCTGTGTGTTGTGTAGGGCTGGTGTGGGCTTGGTCCTGACCTGTGTTGTGTAGGACTGGTGTGGGCTTGGTCCTGACCTGTATGTTGTTGTGTAGGGCTGGTGTGGGCTTGGTCCTGACCTGTGTGTTGGTGTGTAGGGCTGGTGTGGGCTTGGTCCTGACCTGTGTTGTGTAGGGCTGGTGTGGGCTTGGTCCTGACCTGTGTTGAGTAGGGCTGGTGTGGGCTTGGTCCTGACCTGTGTTGTGTAGGGCTGGTGTGGGCTTGGTCCTGACCTGTGTGTTGTGTAGGGCTGGTGTGGGCTTGGTCCTGACCTGTATGTTGTGTAGGGCTGGTGTGGGCTTGGTCCTGACCTGTGTGTTGTGTAGGGCTGGTGTGGGCTTGGTCCTGACCTGTGTTGTTGTGTAGGGCTGGTGTGGGCTTGGTCCTGACCTGTGTTGTTGTGTATGGCTGATGTGGGCTTGGTCCTGACCTGTGTGTTGTTGTGTAGGGCTGGTGTGGGCTTGGTCCTGACCTGTGTTGTTGTGTAGGGCTGGTGTGGGCTTGGTCCTGACCTGTGTTGTGTAGGGCTGGTGTGGGCTTGGTCCTGACCTGTGTTGTGTAGGGCTGGTGTGGGCTTGGTCCTGACCTGTGTTGTTGTGTAGGGCTGGTGTGGGCTTGGTCCTGACCTGTGTTGTTGTGTATGGCTGATGTGGGCTTGGTCCTGACCTGTGTGTTGTTGTGTAGGGCTGGTGTGGGCTTGGTCCTGACCTGTGTGTTGTTGTGTAGGGTTGGTGTGGGCTTGGTCCTGACCTGTGTGTTGTGTAGGGCTGGTGTGGGCTTGGTCCTGACCTGTGTTGTGTAGGGCTGGTGTGGGCTTGGTCCTGACCTGTGTGTTGTTGTGTAGGGCTGGTGTGGGCTTGGTCCTGACCTGTGTGTTGTTGTGTAGGGCTGGTGTGGGCTTGGTCCTGACCTGTGTGTGTGTAGGGCTGGTGTGGGCTTGGTCCTGACCTGTGTGTTGTTGTGTAGGGCTGGTGTGGGCTTGGTCCTGACCTGTATATTGTTGTGTAGGGCTGGTGTGGGCTTGGTCCTGACATGTGTTGTGTAGGGCTGGTGTGGGCTTGATCCTGACCTGTGTTGTGTAGGGCTTCCTACACAGGAAGAATGGATACTCCTTTAAAACTTAACTTATTTATTAAACCCTCTTAACAACCCCCATATACATTCACAACAATAACAATAATTACTTTACCACACTATCTTACGTTAACTACCTTGGTCCACATAGACAGGATACAAGGTTTACACTTGGGACAAGCTAGGGTAAAGTCTACTAGGCAAGGGACACTAGCAAGGACTCTAGGTAGCTTACTGGTACCACTGGAGCACACGTGGTTCCACTGAGACCCCTTAGAGTAACTTAGCTAAGTTACTCTAAGTTCACGACACCCGACCCGACCCGACCAGGGGTCGTGAACCGACCCCGACCCGACCGGGGGTCGTGAACCGACCCGACCGGGGGTCGTGAACCGACCCGACCCGACCGGGGGTCGTGAACCGACCCGACCCGACCGGGAGTCGTGAACCGACCCGACCCGGAGTCGTGAACCGACCCGACCCGACCGGGAGTCGTGAACCGACCCGACCCGACCAGGAGTCGTGAACCGACCCGACCCGACCCGACCCGACCGGGGGTCGTGAACCGACCCGAACCGACCCGACCGGGGGTCGTGAACCGACCCGACCGGGGGTCGTGAACCGACCCGACCCGACCAGGAGTCGTGAACCGACCCGACCGGGGGTCGTGAACCGACCCGACCCGACCCGACCGGGGGTCGCGAACCGACCCGACCGGGGGTCGCGAACCGACCCGACCGGGGGTCGTGAACCGACCCGACTGGGGGTCGCGAACCGACCCGACCGGGGGTCGCAAACCGACCCGACCGGGGGTCGTGAACCGACCCGACCGGGGGTCGTGAACCGACCCGACCGGGGGTCGTGAACCGACCCGACCGGGGGTCGTGAACCGACCCGACCGGGGGTCGTGAACCGACCCCGACCCGACCCGACCGGGGGTCGTGAACCGACCCGACCCGACTAGGAGTCGTGAACCGACCCGACCCGACCCGACCAGGGGTCGTGAACCGACCCGACCAGGAGTCGTGAACCGACCCGACCCGACCCGACCGGGGGTCGTGAACCGACCCCGACCCGACCGGGGGTCGTGAACCGACCCCGACCCGACCGGGGTCAACAGCACGGGTACCATCACCAGCCATCATATTGAGGTTAGGTTGATCAAGGAACTTACCAGTACAGGTTTTATGACCAATCAACACCCGACAACACTCGTGACACATTCTGGGCCTAGTTATAATTCACTTTTATGACCAACGAACACCAACACTAGATTGTGTGTGTGATGGCGCAACTACTCCAACATCAGATCATGTGTGTTGGAACAACTCCATCTACTACTCCAACAATCGATAGAGGTTCCAAGTTAATTAGTTTATTGAAATTGAATTTGCTGAATTCTCCTCTTGGATTTGAGACTAATTGCACAGTATTCGTTCATTTGATCATTTTGATGCATCACGTTAGTGTGATCTCTGTGTGTAATGATGTAAGGGCAAAGAGGGAGAACGGCCTATTGACATAGCTCGTGTGCAGGGGGGAGTTGTGCAAAATCCTGGTTTGTGCCTTGGAGAGGCTATGGGATCCAGCAAGTTCAGTAGAACTTCGGTTTCAACTCTTTTTTTACCCTGTCGTAGCTCAGTCGATTAAGGCAGTGTCTAGGAAGCTCCCGGATGCAGGTTCGAATCCTCGTCACGGCCCTTGTGGATTTGTTCACTAACTGCACAGGTCTATTGGCCCTGCTTGTCAGAACATTTATTACGGGGTGATAGGAGCAACATGCACAGTTTTCTAATCATTATGTTCCTAACCAGTTCATCATTGATTATAAAATAAGATCTAGAGCATTTTCTTTTCTAGTTCTATTTGCTAGTTTTAAGCAGATTTGTCACACATCCCATGAGAAGTTATTTGTGTGTGTGACTTCATTTAGTGTGTGTCCTGAGATTCTCTCTGGTATAACTGTATTTGACACATGTTCCCCCATTTTAGATGCCATAAGTTGAAATTGCCAGGGAAAGTGATGTTTGGGGCAGGGTTTGTGAGTTATTGTAAGCAATGATCTATTTTCATCAGTTAAATAAACTGATAAATAAAAATAAACAGAATAAAATCTTTAAACTACTAAAGATTTGCATGTGGTAACATACCTGTACATACAAGGACAATCACCACATTCACAATTGTTATTTACATTATCAACATTTCCACCATATTGTTTGCGGTGTTTGATCAGCTTTTATTTTCTGAATTATTTCTATGTAATTCTGTATTTGTATCTCTTAAATGATTTAGTAATTTACTATTTTACTTTTTTCCACCCTTTGTATGTACTAGTAAATCTATCTGTAAATCCAACTTTGTTTGTAACTCATCTTCTATGTGTGTACTTTTACCTGAATAAAAAATGTAAATTTGACTTTTTCAGCTGCCAACGTGACTGCTCTGGGAGATAGTGGATGTGCAGAAGGGGAACACAAGTGCAATAACAATATTTGTGTGACGTTGGCCAACCTCTGCAACGGCCGTGATGACTGTGGGGACTACTCTGATGAACACCTCTGCAGTAAGTCTTTATGGAAACTACATTAGTAATATCTTGTATTACATATTTCGAAAATGTGTGTGATATCTGATCACCCAAGCTGTAGTTCATACCGCCTAGTGGACCAGACTACCAACCACATAGTCAGATACTGGGTCTCATGTAGATTAATCTTTCTTGGGATTATCTTGAGTTGATTTGGGGACTTGGCGTCCCCGCAGCCTGGTCCTTGACCAGGCCTCCCTTTTTTTCTTTTTTCTTTTTTCCCCCAAATCCCCAGGAAGCAGCCCAAAGCAGCTGTCTAACTCCTAGTTACCTATTTACTGCTAGGTAACAGGGGCATCGTAGTGAAAGAAACTCTGTCTATTTGTTTCCTCCTCCGCCGGGGATCAAACCTCAGAACTATGAATCCAGGGCACTCTCCATTCAGCTGTCAGGCCCCTTTGATCCTGAAAGCCACGCTGTTATATAGGAAGAAAACAATCTTATTATGGTTTTCTTGTTAAATAGAAATAAAATGTCAATGGCATTATAAACTGCAGATAAAATCATAACATAAATGAGGGCACAAGAGAATCCCTATAACAAGATAGTATATTATTTACTATTATATAGCTTATATCGTTAGGCTTTATTGATGCCCTAATATAGTACTCAATATACAACTATCACATTAAATCATGATATGCCACAAAGGTGACCTCAATATAATGATTTAGCACATGTGTTCCAGAGTAGTTCTTACACATAGATGCAATTAAATTATGCGTGTTTTTTTTCCCCAAATTTATTCAGTCATATACTTTGTACATCATAGTAGATTCTGGGGTAGACTGAGTGTCTAGGGCCATTTTGTTCCACCACCCTAATATGTGAACTTGTATAACCCAACCTACACATGAACTATGAGGAAACTGGTTATGTCTTGGTCCATCCTTGATCCTTGTCAAGTCTAAACTGAAACTGCTCAGTTTGGACTTGATGAATAATTCAATTCATTGTGTCGGGAGACGGGCAGCCAGTGTATATTCAGTATATACAGTACACGTTAGGCTTATATCGTTATACAGCATAGCTTATATCGTTAGGCTATATTGATGAAGAAAAGGACCTTGGCGTCAAAATCCACCACTCGCTGAAAGTTGCACAACAAGTAGGAGCAGCAGTCAGAAAAGCTAATCAAACCCTTGAAATAATAAAGTGTACTTTTGACTTCAAAAGTCAAAAGTTCTCATTTTCAAAAAGACGTAGCTGCTCTGGAGAAATGTGCAACACCGGGCAACAAAAATCATTCCAGAGCTAAGTCATCCCACTTACCAGGAATGGTTGTGGGCCTCGGCTAACAACACTGCAAACCAGGCATGACAGTGCAGATCTTATTTAAATTTTTAAATTGCTGAACAAGTTAGAGGATGTTGATTCGAACAATTTCTTCAAAAGGTCAGATGTAACACAAAAAGAAGCAATGGTGTCAAGCTCAACAAGCCACAATGCAACACAAACAAAAAGCAATGGTGTCAAGCTCAACAAGCCATAATGTAGGACTGAGAACAGGAGGTGCTTTTTCACCCACACGGTTATAAACCCATGGAACTGCCTACCCGTCAAAGCCGTAAATGGTGTAACAAACTAGTTGTTGTAGGAATGGTCCAGAATGTTCTATCTACACATGGGAGAGTGGGAAGTGGAACCACGTGTAGGGGCCTGAGAGCACGGGACATCCCCTGGGGGGATTGGCGGTGGAAATAACTGGCGCCTTTTGTATCACAATTTTGTATAATGAATTATTCCACATTATTCAGTAATTTAGAGAAATCAGTCTTCATTCAAACTTTATAGTACAAGTATTACTGTTTATAGTATCAAGAGGATCCTAATTGTCAGGATAATGAGTTAAGTCACCATCAGTAACGTCACTAATGGGACTAGTCTCAGCCGCGCAATCATTTGGGCGATCTGAGGTCACTAGGGTCACCGAAGCTCCATATTTTTGGTATTTTCTCAAAGGTCAAATAGCCATTTTGTAATTGGAAATAGCTCTTCCCTAGAGGCTTGCATAATTAACTTCAGTTAAAAGAATTCAACCAATCTGGGTCATTCAGTACAACAGAGATTAGTTTCTCAACTTAAACCCTACGAGTAACGTAGTAAGCTCGAGACGTAAGGATACCCAGCCAGCTGGTCTGTGGAGGACAGACGGGCGGGAGGTCACAGTGTGATAATGGTCTGGTGGTGGCAGCACAAGGCGATTCTAGAGTTTTGCTAGAAGTCTATTTCACATCATAAGGGTTGTAGAATCTTAATCCGGTTAAGTGGCTTAAGACCACGTGGCGTGGGGTCGACTCAAAGTATAGCTCTGGGTTCCCTTGGTTTGAGTGAGTGAATAAAGAATACGGACAGGGTGAAGGTAAAAAGAGAGAAGTAGAGAGAGGAACCTCACCCGTGTTACAATGACAAAACTGTGTAAAGTTTTAAAATCTACCTGGAAAAGATCATTAAGGCAAATGGGGAGACCTTTGATAAGCTGCCGGCTTCCTGTCTTCATCGAGGCTACTAGGGCTAGTGGCACTCGGGTAAATCAGGTAAAAATTGGGACACCCCCCCCAGCATCGAATTACTGACACCCCCCTCCCCAAGTTGCAACCCAACAAGAAGCTGACTAACTCCTGGGTATGTATTTAGTGCTAGGTGAACAGATGTAATAGGTGATATGAAACAAACCTAACCAATTCTGTCCCGCCTGGGATTTGAACCCGGAATTCCAGATCGTGCATAGAGGACAAATCCGACTGTACTGTCTGAAACTATATTCCTAGGACAGACTGATGCGCTGCCACTTTTCTGTCATATTTACTTGAATTTACCTGAGGGCCACTGACACTAATAACCTTGACAAGGACAAGAAGCTGGTGACTTGTCGAAAGACCCCCAATTTCCCTTGATAATCTTTTCCAGTTTGATTTTGAAATTCATGTGTGTAGGGTTGGGTTATGTCTTTTAGGCCTTGTTATTGTGACTTTCTCTCAGTAATAAGTAATCATGGTTCTTGACCTTTACTTTCAGACATTAATGAATGTCAACAAACTAATCCTCGAGTCTGCGCTCATCAATGTGTGGATAAAGCAATTGGCTATGCCTGTCAGTGCAACGATGGCTATACCATCAACCCCTATGACTCCAAGCTGTGTGTGGATATTAATGAATGTGCAGACTATCCATGCCCTCACTTCTGTCATAATACTCTTGGCTCCTACAAGTGCATGTGTGCTCCTGGCTACATAGCAGAGGACAACAGCCACAAGTGTAGAGCAAACTCCAGTAAGTAATATTTGTTTATATATATATATATACTAGTATATATATATATATATATATATATATATATATATATATATATATATATATATATATATATATATATATATATATATATATATATATATAATATATATATATATATATATATATATATATTATATTATATTATATTATATAATATAATATAATATATACACATAAACAAGAGTTCTTACATTCTTGTAAAGCCATGAGTAAGTGTAGCATTTTGGGCAGGTCCTTAATCTTAATTTTTCCCTGGAATACTGAAAATTTCCCTGAAAGTTTCACTTGAGTAATATCAAGTCACATGTATTAGTCCATCCTTCAATACTGCTACTGCTGTACTTGTATCAATTATATGCCCAAATGTGTAGAAGTGGACTGTTAGACCCCAAAAAGTTCTTAGTTTGTATTACAGTATTAAATTAGCCCAAATGGCTTTCAAAATGGAAAAGTAGTTTAAAAAATCTAACCTAGCCTGTCCAAGCAATCCTAGGCCTAATTTAGTACATATGTTGGTTCTACTAAACTTAAGAATGTGAACATTGTTGACTGTAATGGTACATTTCTGAGGGGAGCCCCAGAGGCTTCCTGGAGCTATCAGGATGATATGTGTTATATTAGTCTGGGGCATCAGTCAATTGGAGTTCAGCCTACAGGGGCGCATGAGCCAGAACCTGCCCCTCCCTCCATCAAAGAAGTAAAGGGAGCAATGGCCTATAGAAACCCCCATGGGGTTGGGGACATTCCATGTCTGCCATCGACCAGGGTTGGCACCCAGAAAGGTAAGCCTGGCCTCGGGCCGGGCTTGGGGAGTAGAAGAACTCTCAGAACCCCATCAACCAGGTATCAACCAGGTAAGCATAACAAAACAAACTCCACTAGGGAAGAAATTGTGACTGAAAACCGAACAAGGAGGCAGGACTCGCCCTACACCTTAAGGAAACGAGCAAACATCACACCTCGCCATCGCGCCGCCTGTCCATGCAACAACCCCCTCCTCTCCCTCCCCATATGCCCCCCATCGTCCCGGCTACCCAAGCCATCCAGTTTGTTGGCTGATGAGATCTGGGTCAGACGTTGACTCTGGCCTCAAAATTCTGTGCAGTTGTGTGACTTCGTGGTTTTTTCTGCTGTGTGTGAGGTGCGGTGGCCAGCTGTACTTTGGATAGTACTGGAGCTGCATGCGCTCATGGGTTCTCTTCCCTGGGCACCCTGTAAGTGCTACTCTTAGGTTCTAGGGTTCTCTTCCATAGAATTTTCGAGAACCGCTTCCGTAGGGGTCTTTGCCGCTTGGCTCTTACCCCTCCCTTGGGGACAGCTGGGGTTTTTGTGGCCTTTGTTTGGCCTTGGGTAGGAAGCAGTAACCGTTTGCTGGTAGAGGTGCAAGGTACAGTGCAGCTCGCCTACCAACACGGCAGCCGGTTTCTGTTCCTCTGAAAACGTACTTCTCTGGGGTTTTTTCTTTTATTTTTATTTTCCCCTTGCCTGGAGGGGTCTGCCTGATTTGGCTATAGGCCTGGTGTGGGGGAGTTCGGGGTTCGCGGGGCAGGCTTCTTTCCCTGCGCTCTGTCAGGTCATCTCAGAGTGGGTGTGCTTGAGCATGGTCGAAACTACCACGTCCTTCAGGTGGGTTTCCCGCCTGTTACTAGTGCCGAAACAAGACTGTGCGGATCTGCGGTTCATTCTAGACTTGTCCTGTCTGAACCCCTGGATCCCTTGGCCCTCCTGTCGGATGACCACTCTGTCTCAGGTCCCGTTTCTCTTGGATCCGGGTGCCTGGATGGTGTCCCTAGACCTCGGGGACACGTCTTGGCATGTTCCCATTTATTTGGGGTTCAGGGATTGGGTTTGCACAGTCTCCGTGGTGTAGTGGTAAGACACTCGCCTGGCGTTCCGCGAGCACTATGTCATGGGTTCGTATCCTGGCCGGGGAGGATTTACTGGGCGCAATTCCTTAACTGTAGCCTCTGCTTAACGCAACAGTAAAATGTGTACTTGGATGAAAAAACGATTCTTCGCGGCAGGGGATCGTATTCCAGGGACCTGCCCGAAACGCTATGCGTACTAGTGGCTGTACAAGAATGTAACAACTCTTGTATATATCTCAAAAAAAAAAAAAAAAAAAAAAAAGGGACCAGTTAGGTTTTTTGGTGGGGCATCAGGGCCCCCAGGTCGGCTCCTCCCAATGTCAGGACCCGGGGCAGAGCAGTCCTCCATACCCTCTACCCCTGAAGAAAAGGCAAAGCCCAGGAGAATGGCTGAAAAGAAGGGGGTAAGTCTGAGTCTTACCAGCTGATAAGACCCCAGAATCAAAGTCGAAGTGACTAACGCCCCCAGGTCCGGGTCCCTATAACCAAAGCCGGGCAGCTGCAGGGCATCAGGGTGGGAAACCAACCTAGTGTTGCAGCAACCTAAACCTGGCATCTAACACAGATGCTGCCTGTACACTAACAGTATTGTCATCAGAAAAGTACTGGAGAACAAGCGGAGAACACAACTCGCAAGACTCTGGGTCAAAGGTGTTCATCCAACAGACAGCATGACGGAGGCAAAAGAGGTGACTATCACCCTGAGACAAGGGCACACAACAACCCTCAAACCCATATGAGGTGGGCTAGAACTCGGAAAAAGCATTCACAAGTCCACCGAGCCCCGATATTGTTTTCCAGGGCCCAGCAACGAGGCGGTCTGGTCGACGACTGGGTCACGGGGTTGCTAAGCCCCGAAATCACTTCAAGGTAATCTCAAGGCAAGGTAGGCCCGTAGGCTGATTGCTACGGGAAGCCCGGGCAAGGTGTTGCTAATGGGTTTAAGACACAAAGCTAACAAGGGGGAAGATCAGAACACTGAAACCCCTGCGACGTGTACAATCATGAGGCCCTAGTAGAGGGGCCACCAAAATAATATAAGTGGAACTATTGCCATACCAGGCAGACCCTCCCACCAGGCAAGAAAAACAAAAACGAGAAAAAACCCTCAAAAGTACAATGTCCCCAGAGAAAACAGGAACCAGCCGCCATGTAGGTAGGTAGGCTGCACAACACCTTGACGCCTCAACAGCATGATACTACTCCCTACACAAGGCCAAACAAGGGCCATGAAACCCCAACTGGCCCCAAGGGCGGGGTATATGCCGAGCAGCAAAAAACCAGCGTTGAATGTAATGAAATGCCATTTTCTGGGCGAGTCCCGGAGGCTCCCCGGAACTTACTAGGCTGATATGCTAATGTCAGACTTTGGCATCAGTCATGTGTATAGAGTTCTTATGAGCCTACCAGGAACCACGAGCCAGAACCTGGCCCCCTCTAGAGAGGCAAGGGGAGCAATGGCCTATAGAAACCCCTGTATAATTGGAAACATTCTATATCTGCCATCGACCAGGTTAGGCACCCAGAAAGGTAGGCGTCTCAAAACAAACCTCTATTCTGGTGAAAATTGCAACCAAAAGCCGAACAAATGGATAAAACTCCCCAAACAAAAACGAGCAAACTAGTATGACGTCACCCGTCGTCGCTCAGCTGTCTGCGCAGCCCTCCGCCTCCCTGGGAGGGGGAAGGGGTAGCTCCAGACCTACAGTGCCGGTGATCCACTCCCCAATTCTGAAGCTGGATGTCAAAACACGTGAAAAAAAAATGCCGACCGGAGGGAGGGAGGGAGGGATGCCAGGGAGACTCTGGGACTTACCAGAAAATGGTGTTTCATTACATTCAATGCTGGTTTTCTAGGGGGAGCCTCTATGGCTCCCCAGAGCTAACTACCCACAGAGGAAAAGAATAGGGACTTAACCGGGAGGCATTTGCTGCTCACTCCTCAACCTGAAGTCAAGACAACTGGCTGCATCCGTCGACCCAAAGTGACACAGGCCCAACTGGGCCCAGGAACGTTTACAAGGTAACAAGCAGTCAGGACCCTGGTCAACTGTCAAAATCCCCGCGCCCAAATGTCAGCCCAGGACACATTGCCAAAGACGGCGGCAAGAGCCGCAAACTTGCAGACATCATGGGAACGGGGATAGACTGCAGGCTGGCTAGCCTTAATAACCCTGTGGACGACCTAGGAGACCCGCACCCTCGAACAGGGAAGAAGGGAAACAGGATCAACCCAAAGCACGTCCACGGACACAGAAGCCGTGGCGCGCAAATAACGGCAGAGAGCTGCAACCAGACACAAAACATGATGCACCTCCGGCCGAATGAACCAAGCATCAACAACCCAGGTACCCCTACGGAAAGCAGCAGTCTTTCGCCAGGAAAGAAGAAGGCTGTAGATGAACAAACCGATCACCCCGACCGAAGGAGCAGAAACCTCTGCGCCGGAGGAGAGCATGAAGCTCACCTACCTGACCCCCAGAAGCCAATGCCAATAGGAAAAAGAGCCTTCGAAAAACAATCCGGGACCGAAGGGGCCACAAGAAAACGAGGAGAAGAAAGAAAAGAGAGCACTCTGTCCAATGACCAGGACAGCTCGGGCAGCACATGAGCAGGCCGGAAGTGAAACAACGCCCAGACAGCTTGCAAAACGGCGCAAACGTGACATCAACACCGAAAGCAAGCTGAAGCAGCTCCGCCAGCGCCGCACAATACGAGACGACTGTGTTAGGCACAATGAGACGGTGCTTGAACAACCAAAAGAGAAAGGACAGCACCACAATAACAGAAAACGAAGTACAACGACAAAGATGTAAGAAGAACCGGAAGGACCACCAGGAAACTTCATACTGCCACCGAGACGAAGCCTGCAGGTGGGACACTAATAAGAAAGCCACCTGATCACCATAGAGATGATGATAAACTTGAGTAAAAAATACCATACGTGAAGACTCGAGGAGAAGATCGAACCATCCACGTGACGTACCGGTCCGATCTGCTGGAAGAGGTGGAGCCGCAGAAAAACCTCCAGGTTCGGACACTGAGCAAGCAGCGCCTGAAACCATGGCTCAGCCGGCCATCAAGAGGACAACTTTCCCCTGGCAAGTC